GGGGCGTTGTGACTTCTCTTGAGATCCTGGCAGTTGGAGGGTTTGGGGAGCAAGCTGTTACACTGGCAATGTTTGGTGGGGTTGTTTGAAGCCCATGGGGGCCAGGCTCTCAGAGGCCCTTCCCACATCCTCTCCCCTTCCCAAGAAATCAACCCACATGCCTCGTGAATGGCAAAGGCATGTCCAATACTATGAGGAGTTGAAACAGAGCCATCTGCACAATGTTACCTGTGGTAAATTGAGGGCCTCAATCCTCTGTGCTCCGAATTACAGGCCTGGAAAGCCAACTCCAGTGGGGGAAGACCCTCATGGTTATGAGATATAAATCTTCATACTCAGTCTCATGACTGGACAAAGTCCCTCCAATAACTCCCCATTAAGGAGCTACCATGTAAGATGAATCATTCATTCGTGTGTCTGGCTAGTCCCTGTGCCTGGAGGGTGTCTGCAGATAAGAGACATCGGCTTCTATAGCCAACCCACCGTAAATGTAGCAAGCCCCTGGGGAAGGCTCAGGGGTGTCTGAGGTCAACTAGCACTAGGCCAAGACACTAACTCATTGCTTGTTTATGATGTTACCCACTTATGATATCACCCACTGACTATGTAATATGTTAGCTGTATGACATGCGTGCCTTAGGAAAGATCTCTAATCCCTGTTTTATAGACCCATTGGAAAACACGTTCACTCTCTCAGTCCTGACAGGGATGAGGAGCCCCTGTGCCCCCATGGTCTGTCTCTGTCTGTAATATTTTCCACAACCACAAAGTCACTCTTGAAGACGCGTTCGTGTTTTGGGGACCCCCCCACTCCCAACAGTTACCTGTCCAAAATATTTCATCTGGATCCAATTCTACTGTTCTCCTTTCTCATAGAGCCAACAGAGGTTCTCTTGCTGATCTAAGACATTTGATGGGTTCTAAAAGCTGTAAGACTGAAGAACTGACTGTCTTCTAGGGCCGGTTCACGCGTAGGCAGTAAGGGGAAATCATGGGAAGTGTGCCCCTGCCCAGAGGCTTTGTTCCACTCGGTAGATTGGTTCTAGCCCAGTGCTGGGCACTCAGTGAGCATGCCTAGAGCGCCTATTGTGCCTTGGGCCCTGACAACACTAAGGGGCTGGAAGGGAGACTGAGCCTGGGTGGGTAATGGAGTGGTGGGCCTGGTGGGGGAGAGGGGAGGAGGAGGTTGCGGATTCCTGGCATGTAGGCTGAAGCGCCAGGAGGAAAGTCTTGGGACATTGGTTAAGCGCCCCTTACCTGGAGACTCAATGGGTTAAACGTCAGGCTGCTGACAGAAAGGTTGGCAGTTCAAGTCCACCCAAAGTTCAGCGGGAGAAAGATAATGTTTTCAGTTTCCGAAAAGATTTCGTGCCTCAGAAACCCAGTTCTACTCTCCGGTACGGTCACTGTGAGTCGGAATGGACTGGATCTCTGGGGGACTCACTTGGAAAGTTGGTGCCACAGAGATGCAGAAGCAGATCTTGCGCCACCATCTCCTGGGCCAAGTGGCCCCAGACCTCTGCACCCAGCAGGGGGCGCGCGCGGGCCGCACCTGTCCGAGACCTCAGCAGGCAAAGCCCAAGCCCGCAGATAGGAACCTGGAGCCTCCAGGTTTCAGCCCGTCTCACCCTGGGGTGTGCGGAAATCGAAGTTGCGAGTCAGTCTGGGAAGAAGACGACGAAAAAGAACCCTAGAGGCTCAGCTCTCCGCTCCTGGAACTCCAGCCTCATCCCCAGGTCTCATGCCAGATTCCGAACCGACTCCCTGCGCGCTGGAGGCTTGGAACCTGGTACCCCCCTGCCGGCCCCCGCGCACCTTCTCCCACGCACCCGATTAAGGTGCCTGTTTCTTTAACGATCAGAGACGTGGACGGTGGCGGGGGTGGTATCCTCGCTCCCGTTCCCCAGCCCAGCAGCTACTGTACCGTTGTGGTTATTAATATTGTAAACACGAGATCCGCTCTGGCGCGGCTGGCGGCGCGGGGCGCGGGGCGCAGGGCGCGCAGGCTCCTAGCTGAGCTCCCAGGCTGACGCCCGGAGCCGCGGCTCCCAAAGCAGGCCTCCGCGGACTCTGCCGGGGCGGCTCGGGCTCGGGCCCGGTGGGGCAGGGCGTCCGGCTCTCCCAGGCAAGGCGGGGGTAAGGAGCTCGTTTCCCAACAGGAATGGCCAGGGGAACAAAAGCGCCGCCGGAAAGTGGGCGGGAGTCGCTGGGGCCCGGGGGAATCAGCGCCAGACTCGGGGTGCCTTCCTGGCACCTGGTCTCTCTGCTGATCGCCGACCCCCCAATCCCCCACCCCCACTCTGGGCTGTGACCTTCCGGACAAGTGAGCAAAGAAAAGAGGTCTCCTTTGGTCCAAGGGTCCCAGACGCTGGAGGGGCGGACCTCTGTGGCTCTGCGAATCTCCCTTCTTCTGCCTTAGTTGCCCGTATCCCCCCGCCCCCCCCCCCGCCCCCCACCAACCGGGAGGAAGCAAAGACCAGAAAGAGAGACGAAAACCCAGAGAGGGCTCTCGAACCAGGAGCCTGCAAAAACAGATCTTCTGCGCCCGGTGCGTCCTTCCCTACCCCTATCCTGGAAGGCCTCAAATGCCCACTGCCAGGCTCAGTGGTAACTCTGGGCCTCCGCCTCCCTGTACCGTCCATACCCAGCCAAGGCTCATGGGGCTGCCCGCTCAGGGTTAAGGCAACGCTGGCACTGCGCACAGGACGCCCCCTCGCTCCGCAGACAAAGAGGCCTGTGCCAGGACCCGCTGCCCGCCCCAGTCACATCCAAATCGCAGACTCCTCTCCTGGGTTAGGTAGCCCCTTTCGGCTGTCCCATTGCAAGGCCCCACCGGGAGTGGAGCACGCAGCTCTGGACCCTTCACTCTCTGAGGTCCCCTCTGCCAGCAGGGTGCCCTGGCGTCCTTTCCGCAATCAGCTGCGGGGATCCAGAGTCTCAGCAGGCCAAGGAAACTTCTGGGTTCTGAGCCCGGGCCTTGAGCGAGACGAGCGCGGGCCCAAACCCACTAGGCAGCCAGTAGTTAGGGCTGCAGTGGAAGCGGGGGAGTGTGCGCGCCCTGTCCGTTCATATTTAATTTACAAAGGAGCCTCAGACCTCCAGGCCAGCCCGGTGGTCTCTCTAGATGCAGCGCTCCTCTCCCAGCCCCCCAGCCCCAGCTCATTAAAATGCTCAACACTCAAATCAGGGTATTGATCTCCACAGAGGCCCGAGCCCTGCGCCATCGACCAGCCGCGGAAGACCCCCAAGGCCGGGGGTGAGGGCTGGGGGGCCACATGCGCCCTGATATTTCAGTGTCTGTGGAACGGTTGGGGGATGGGCCTCTGGGGGCCTGTCCCCCTTCTCGTTCTAGCCAGCGGCTCCAACTCAGGGTCCCCCGGAGCCGCACAGGGGGGCTGAAAGCATGTTTTAGTCAAATACCTCCGCACCCTTGCGCTTCCGCCTCCGTGAAGCAAACACCAAATCGGGAATTTTTTTTTTCTCCAAGAGACACGGAGAGCCGGGAACCGGGAGTCTGAGAGTCTCCGGAGGCCGGCTGTTGTGGGAGGGTGTGAGACTGCGGGCCGTGGCGTCCCCCGCCCCCCGCCCCGTCTCCTCCACCCCACACCCCCGACATTGGCGGAGGGTGTGTGATGGCTTGTGAGCCTGTGAAGATGTGCCGGGAGGGCGGGAGATGCTTGGCCTTTCAGCCCACAGTCTGCAGTGCTCCAAGAGGCGCAAAGGCACCGTAACCGGTCCGGTACGTGTGCCTCTGTCCGCGGTAGACCTCGTCCCCCGACAGCTGGGAGCAGGCCGGGCTCCGGGAAGAGACGTTCGCGTGCGTTCAGGCCGGCTCCCTAAGAGCGTGGGTCGACCCCACGCGCCCCAGCCCAGCCCGCCGGGGGCACCGACCGGCGCTTTGCGGCGTGCGCTTCCAGTGATGGTTTAGCCACAAAAGACCAGACTGAAAGAGTCGGGCTTTCAGAGGCTGGGCTGGGCGGGAGGGGGGTAGGGCGGGGCCGGTAGCTTCCCCGCGCACCCTGCGGGGCTGCGCGTTCCCGTCACGGGGTAGGACGGGCGGGGGGCTTGGATCTGCCCAGATTCGGGCAAACCCAGGCAGGGAGGGCGAGGCGCTCGGCTAACACTATCAATTATGCATGGTGGGGGACGCGCCTCGGGGGAGCAGGAGGCGAGCAGGGAAGTGCAGGAGGAAAGGGTCCGTGCGCTCCCGGCTGGGCGCAACTCAGCCGGTCCCCTTCTAGGTCTCTCGGCGCCACAGCCCGCGTTGGCAAAAAGAGTTTAAAGGCAGAGACACGCCCCCCTCCCCTAACAGCTGCACGCCTTTCCTTCCCCCAAACTCCTCAAAGATGGTTTGTCTCACGTGTTGCGGGGCGTAAAAGCTGCTCGCATTCATTTAACAGCGGAGCTCGCGGGCGCCGGCAGGACGGGCGCAGGAGGGTGAGTGCCCTTGGATGTGTGAGTGTGCGAGAGCCGGAGAATGGGGAGTGCCCCGGTGCAGAGGGTGCGTGCAAATGAGAGTGGACGCAGCGAGGGCGCAGCACGTCGACTCACTGAGTGCATTGAGATGGATAATTCCACCGCTTGAAAGCTGGGTGGAAGGGGAGAGGGTCAGTGTGTGCAAATGTATTTGAACCGGGGTGGGGGGGGCGGGGTGTGCAGAGGGATAGTGCCGGTGGCAGCGGGTGTATAAATGTGAGAGGATGTGGGGTATGGGGGTGCGGTGAGATGGGGAGAGCCACGTCGAGGTCGTGGGCGCAGTGGCGCCTCGTGTGACCGCGGAGTCTCTGTCTCCAGGAAGGTCTTTAACAAATGGGGGCCTCACAGGAGGTGGGAGGGGCTGTGCGCGTCCCCGCTGAGTCCGGAAGCGCGCTCCGACTCTCTCCAACCTGCAGGCAGATAGAGGTGGGGGGAGAAGAGAAAGGAGGCCCCCAAACTCACCATCCTTTCCCCTGTCCCCTCCCTCATCTCTCCCCGACAGCCACAGCAACAGATGAGGGGAGCACGTAAGGGCGGTCGTCTCTTCTAGGCGAGGCTGAGAAGAAGGGGTTGTGGTCCGAGGGCAGAGCTCCGAACGTCGAGCGTTGGGTAAGCCTCCGAACCACTCCACAGCCTGGACCCAAGTGAGGGGTGGGCCCCGCCTAGGGCACTGGACCCCGCTGGCAGTACAGGGGAAGGGGGCCTCCCCTGAGAGTGGAGGCGGAGCGGGGAACTGGAATTCCCAAGGACATAATGTGGGAGGGGCCCTGCCCCGCCAGACAGGGCCTCCAGGCGTGGGCGGGGTATCTGTGTGTAAATGCATTTGTGTGGCTGGGGTGGGATGATCAGGTTTTATGGGAGACCTTCAGGCGTTGTGAAACCGCGGAGAAAGCCGTGGCATCTTGAATCTTCCTCTGTTTCATTAGTTCGAGGTAGCCCCCTTAGCCCTTCATTGAGACCCCTCTGTGAGGTTGTTTCCCCACCCCCCAAAGGAATGCTCTGGGGCCATTTCCCCAACCTTTCTGTCCCCGACCTCCCAGAAGGCCGCCTTTCCGAAACAAAGGGTAAAGGAGCAACTTTAATTCACCCTTATGCAGACCAGCAGACTTGGGCCACTGGGGGAGAGGGTCCAGCGGGTCTACACCCCCTCCTCCCACTTACCCGCGGTTTCCCACACCAAGTTCAAGTTCTAGGCGTGGCTGATCCGCTGAGCTAGGAAAACAGGGCTCCAGTCCCAGGGGAAAACTGTGGGCACCATGCAGCATGCACCCTGTCCCTATGTGTCTGGTCAAGAGAGGACTCTTTTCCGTCTTATCAGTTGTCACAATGGACAGGAAGACGGCTTCCACTGTGGTGGAAGATGCTGTCCAAAGCCCGCCACAGCGCCAGAACAATGAGGAAATACTGTACCCATAACTGGGTGCCCCTTGAGTGTTTGTGTGCTTGTGGGATATGCTGTGAATCCCCTGGTGATGGCTCAGAGGGGTCCTCAGCCCCTGCAGAAGTTGGGGGATGGAGGGTGTTGCCCAAGCGTGCTTACGTATTGTGTGTGGCCTGTATGGGAGCGTGTACTAAGTGCTAGCTGTGTGTGGGACAAAGGGAAGAAAGACATCTGGTCACAGACAAAGAGACCCTTTTGGCAGATTCTTGTCAGGGGCCGGATCAGGAATCTCCCAAACTGAGAGGGGTCACTCTGCGAGCCCCTAAGCCTGCGGAGAGGTTAGTACTTGGAAGCGCTGGGGGAGGGGGACAGGGTGGGTATTTAGAGGTATGGGACTGCTTGAAAGGTGGCCAGGGAGAGTATGTATGGCCCCGAGACTGTTACTGAGCTCCAGCAGTGTCCATGAGAGGATTAACCGCATAGAAGAGGCTACCTGAACTCTGGGCGGCTTTAGAGCAGCTTGCATAGGGTGGGCTTTATAGTGGAGGTGGGACCTGGGGCCGGCGAGTCACCTTTTGGCCCCTCACTCCCGCTTCCATTTGCAGGAGTAGCGATGGCGTCCCTGAGGGCCCTGTGGCTAGCCTGGGCGATGCTCCGTGTGGCTGGAGCGTGCCCTGAGCCGTGCGCCTGCGTGGACAAATACGCCCATCAGTTTGCCGACTGTGCCTACAAGGAGCTACGTGAAGTACCCGAGGGGCTGCCGGCCAACGTGACCACGCTGAGTCTGTCGGCTAACAAGATCACCGTGCTGCGGCGAGGGGCCTTCGCCAACGTCACCCAGGTCACATCTCTGTGGCTGGCGCACAACGAGGTGCGCACCGTAGAGCCCGGCGCGCTGGCGGTGCTGAGCCAGCTCAAGAACCTCGACCTGAGCCACAACCTCATATCCAGCTTCCCATGGAGCGACCTGCGTAACCTGAGCGCTCTGCAGCTGCTCAAAATGAATCACAACCGCTTGGGCTCGCTGCCCGGCGACGCGCTCGGCGCGCTGCCGGACCTGCGCTCGCTGCGCATCAACAACAACCGCCTCCGTACGCTGGCGCCCGGCACGTTCGACGAGCTGAGCGCGCTGTCGCACCTACAGCTCTATCACAACCCTTTCCACTGTGGCTGCCGCCTGGTGTGGCTCCAGGCCTGGGCCTCGAGCACCAGGGTCTCGCTGCCGGAGCCCGACTCCATTGCGTGCGCCTCGCCGCCGGCGCTGCAGGGAGTTCCGGTGCACCGCCTGCCCGCGCTGCCCTGTGCACCGCCCAGCGTGAGTCTGAGCACTGAGCCTGCGCCCGAGGCACCCGGCCACCCTCTGCGAGCCGGTCTGGCCCTAGTGCTGCACTGCGCCGTCCAAGGCTACCCGGCGCCCCGCCTGCAATGGCACCTTCAGATCCCTGGTGGCATTGTAGTTTTAGAACCGCCAGCCCTGAGAGAGAAGGACGACCAGGATGGGGCGGAAGATGGGGAGGGGGAAAGGGATGCGGATGAGCCAACGCAGACCGAAGCCCCAACTCCAACTCCCCCGGCACCGGCTTGGCCCGCACCTCCAGCCACCCCACGCTTCCTGGCCCTTGCAAACGGGTCCCTTTTGGTGCCCCTCCTGAGCACCAAGGAGGCGGGCGTCTACACCTGCCGTGCACACAACGAGCTGGGCACCAACTCGACCTCACTGCGCGTGGCAGTGGCAGCATCGGGGCCCCCTAAGCACGGTCCTGGCACGGGGTCCGAACCGGTGGGGCAGTCCCCAGGCTCGGATCGCAAGTCCACCACCAAGGGCCGGGGCAACAGCGTCCTGCCTTCGAAGCCTGAGAGCAAAACCAAAGGCCAAGGCCTGCCCCGGGTCAGCGTCCTCGGGGAGACGGAGGTGGGCCCCGCTGAAGAGGAGGGAGAGGAGGAGGCTGAAGACCAGGTCCCTGCGGATCCCGGGGAGGAGCAGCGCTGTGACCAGGGGGACCCCTCGCGGTACGTGTCCAACCACGCGTTCAACCAGAGCTCCGACCTCAAACCTCACGTCTTTGAGCTGGGCGTCATCGCGCTGGACGTGGCGGAGCGCGAGGCGCGGGTGCAGCTGACGCCCCTGGCAGCGCGCTGGAGCCCAGGGACTAGCGAGGCCGCGAGAGCTCAGCGGCCTGGGCGGTGGCCCCCGCGCCTTCTTTATCTGTGCCCAGCTGGGGGCGGGGCGGCCGTGCAGTGGTCGCGCGTGGAGGAGGGGGTCAATGCCTACTGGTTCCGTGGCCTGCGCCCTGGCACCAACTACTCAGTGTGCCTGGCGCTGGCGGGCGAGGCGTGTCACGTTCAGGTGGTGTTCGCCACCAAGAAGGAGCTGCCTTCCCTGATCGTCATAGTGGCGGTGAGCGTGTTCCTTCTGGTGCTAGCCACTGTCCCCCTGCTGGGCGCCGCCTGCTGCCATCTGCTGGCCAAACACCCGGGCAAGCCCTACCGCCTGATCCTGAGGCCGCAGGCCCCGGACCCCATGGAGAAGCGCATCGCCGCCGACTTTGACCCGCGTGCCTCCTACCTTGAGTCGGAGAAAAGCTACCGCGCAGGCGGTGAGGCAGGCGACGAGGAGCCAGAGGCGAGCCCCGGGGAGGGCCTGGATGAAGACCCAGAGCAGGGGGACCCTAGCGGGGACCTGCAGAGGGAGGAGAGCCTGGCGGCCTGCTCCCTAGTGGAGTCTCAGTCCAAGGCCAACCAAGAGGAGTTCGAGGCGAGCTCCGAGTACAGCGACCGGCTGCCACTGGGCGCAGAGGCCGTCGATATTGCCCCAGAGATTAACGGTAACTACAGGCAGACGGTGGGATGAGTCATCGGCCCACCCTGCCACCCGTTCCTACTCCTCACCTTGCGTCCTTAGGAGCAGAAACCTTGGGCTGGCAGGATTCACCATCCCATCCTACTCGGGCGCACTTACTCCTCCCCCGGTCACTCACCAACCTCTAGTACATCTGGTAGGGAGTGGGCCACTGTCATCAGTCCCCGGTACCCACTACCGGTGGCCATTCTCCCAGTGGGCAGAAAGATCGCCTTTCCACCCCCAACCCCCAAGCACGGTTCCTGGCTCCTTGGTCCTCAAATAAGCCACTGCCCCCACACCCTAGCAGAAGGGGACTGAATCTACAACCCTCCCCACCATTGTCACCTCGAATATTACAGCGGCAGCGACATGCGTGGCAGCTATCTCTGTGCACCACTGCCCACCCCACTGCGGGGGTTTTGGTGCGGAAGGAATTCAGGAAAGACCTTTGGCAACGCTGTGACTGCCGAGCCAGCCAGGACCCCTGGCAAACGTCCCCAGCGCAGAGCGCAAATAGGGTCTTGTCTCCATCCCACTATCACTGCCATTTCTGGGGCTTGGGGACCTGGTGGCATCAGGGAAAGTGATTTTCCCTTTGATTCCTAATTTATTATTTATTTATTTGTTGTTTGTTTGTTTGTTTGAAAGCCTCCCTCCCGACTTCTGACCCCTTCCGCTCTCCCAGCACTGGCCCTAGCCGACTCTGGTCCGCTGGAGCTGAGCCAGATGCCTTGGGCGCCTTTCTGCTCAGTGCTCCAGCGTCGGCTTTCACATTTTCGTTCTCTTCACAGGCCTTGACGCTCCTGGGCCTGGTGCTAATAACACCCTCCCGCCTCGGAGGAAATGGGGATGTGGAGGAGGAGAGTGGGAACCCGTTTCCTCCCATGAGTTTCCCTAACTGCGCTGCCCCTTTCCCCGCGGAGGGTAGGGGTTTGGCTCAGGACCATTTTTCGCTGCCCTTGTGCCAGGTGCATTGTCCAGGTTGGCTGCAGCTTCCAAAGCCCCCGGGCCCAGACCCCAGCCACAGAAACCAGGCGTGTAGGAAGCCAACGGTGCCCCCTGCTTGGGTCCCTCGCGGGTGGGGTGCTTGCACAATGCCCCACGGGTGCTTGGGTGGAGAACAACGCTCAGTCCTCGCCCCCCACCCACACCCGCCCCTTCCAAGGAATCCCCTTTGCCCAGGCGTGTTGTCCTAGCTGAGCGTGCGGTAGTGTCCTGTGAAGTGACCCTGTAGTGTAGATGGGGCAGAAGGACAGACAGGTGGGCGGGGAGGGAGGGAGGGAGGGAGGTGGAGGGTGGGCGTGGTGACATGGGCTAGGGTCCGTTTTCTTTATCAGAGGGAAGCATTGGGGTGGTGGGGGGAGAGTGGGGGGTTCGAGTCGGTGGGCCGCCCCTCTCTGCAAAGCGCAGCACAAGTGCGGCCCGGGAAGGCGTAGTCCCCGAGCCCGCGCCCTTTTCTATACCAGTCCCTGTGTAATCAGTCAATAAACAATCGGGTTGAACTGGCCTCAGCGACTCTTTGTCTGCGGAGCGGAGGGGGGAAGCAAGGAGGCCTTGGAAGTCGTTTGTGTGATCTTACCTCTGTCGGGTCTGACAGTTCTCTGTGTTTCTCACAGAGTTTCCTGTGTTTGCAAAACCGGAGCTTGCTTTGGAGCTTCCAACTCCTGGGTGGGCGTGGAGGTGGAGAGACTGAAGGGAGTAGGCAGTGGGTGACAGAGAGGGAGGGTGGGTCTCTGTACCTCCTGAGCCCCAGAAATGCATGAGCGGCGTGTGTGTGTGTGTGTGTGTGTGTGTGTGTGTGTGTGTGTGTGTGTGTGTTGGTGTGTGTGGATGTGTGTTGAGAGGGGGAGGGGAGGGGTGAGAGTGGGCACCTTCTAGTTTCTGTGCCTCAATACCAGCCTGAGTTCTCTGAGCTGCCAGTGGCAGGGTGGGGGTGGAGGGGTGGGTGGGGATGAAGTCCTGGGGTCAAACAGCTGTGACTCCCATGTTAAATTACAGAAAACAAATGCTGGCACCTTTAGCTCTGGAGCTGTATATGTGGGGTGGGGGTTGGGCAGGGACACTGCTCAGTAGACAATTCCTAGACAGGTAGCAAGGGGTGAGTGTCTGTCACTGGTGAGAGCAGACTAGGTAGTAGTCCTAGAAATGGGGCTCCTTGGATGGCAGGCAGGGGAGATGGGGGCCCATTGGAGAGAATGTAGACTCCTGAGGTGGGACTAAAGGGTTGAGTAGCCAGGGATGGGCATAGAAGAGAGGCATGGAGCAGACGCTGGGGGAGCAAGTGATGCCTGCATTCCTCTCCTCCCTGCTTCCTGCTCCCCCTTTCTCCCCCCACCTCACCCTCTCAGTGGGTATTAGGTCCAGACTGGGAGGAGCCTGGCTCCTGGCACCCAGCACCCTATCCCAGGCCTAGGCCTGTGTGCGGCCGAGGCAGCGGCTGAGACATTTTCTGGAGGAGACCTGAGCCCCAGGTCCCTTCCCTAGATCAACCAGGCTCTGTCCGAAAACACTCCCTTCCAAGGGCTGCACCTGGCCCCAGCTCAGGTCAGTGCTCCAGCCCACTGCCAGGGACCCAGCATCAGAAAGTAAGTCATCTTTTAGGAAGAAGGTGATTTTGTTCTACCTGCAAATGCTGCCCTCTGAAGAGTGGCCAGGAAGGGGCCTGGTTCCCATCATTGAGAATCAGCTCACAGGTCAAGCCAGGCCAGTGAGAGCTTGGTGACTTGGGTCCAGCTCTGTTCTCTAGTCATGGGTGTCTGGAGGGAGAAGGGTTCCCCCTGATGCTCCCTGTCCTAGGACTGGGGGCCATCCTGGCAACTTTTAGGGTCTTGAGTGCCTGCAGCTGAGCATTCTGCCCCTTCTTTGGTGGAAGAAGAAGCCCCCCCCCCCCCCCACACACACACATACATACCTGTTCGTTGAAGCCTTGTGCTCCCTGGACAAGACCAGGGCTGGGGGACAGGGATGACAGGTGCTAGAGGATGAGGCCCAAGGAAGGCCCCCAGACACTGCTGACTGCCCACGGAGATACCAGCCCCCCTGGGGACCCCCCATTTCTAAGGGTTTGGTACTTGCACCCAACAGGGCCCTACCTGCTGGCTTTCTTCCCTATATCCTTTTATATTTTATTCCTTCCTTCCTCCCTCTCCTTCAAATTCTCCCTCTTTCTTTCCTCCTCTCACCATCCCCTCCTTCTTTGCCCTTCTCCTTCCCCAATGTTTCCTCCCTCAAGGAATAAAGAGCTCAGTGGGGGAAGGGACCTTGAAGAACTGCTAGTTCTTCTCAACAATGTCCCTGCCAGCTTGTACCTAGCGAATGGGAGCTTACTCTTCATTTCCTCCTCCAAGGGATCAGTGGATGGACAATTCAAAATATGTATTCTGCAAGGTAAACGGAGAGAGAGGAAAGATCTAGGAAGCAAAGCTGTGGATAGAGGTATAAACATAGATGTACACTTATGTAAATCAATGAATTCATAAAAATAGAGGTATTGCCCTAGGTACATATATTTATATGGAAATGCATTGAGGAAGTGGATGGACTTTGGGCCTCTGTTCAAGCTCTCCTTCAACACAAGAACACTGTTCTAACAATCTGTGACGCTCACCTTCCTGACACGATCGCTGAAGACAAAATGTGTACATAAACAAATGTGGTGAAGAAAGCTGATGGTGCCTGGCTATCAGAAGATATAGGGTCGGGGTTCTTAAACTCTCGAAGTTAAGCAACCAGCCATCTAGCAGAGAAGCAACAAGCCCACATGGAAAAAGCATACCTGTGCAATCATGAGGTGTCAAATGAATCAGGTAACAGGCACCAGAAGACCCCAAACAAGCACACAAAAAAACATATTGTTGAGAACAAGTGGGGTCAGAGCAGAGACCCCAAACTCATCTGTAGACAATAGGACATCCCCTCACAGAAGGGTCACAAGGAAGGGATGAGTCAACCAGGGTGCAGTATAGCTTCGATGAAACACACACAATATTCCTTTGGTTCTTTGAGGCTTCCTCACCCCCCACTATCATCACTCCAGACCTGCCTTTCACTGTGGGCTAGACTGGAGCATGTACACAGGTATAGATAAAAGATAAGCGCTCATGACACACAGAATCCAGGTCAGATAAACCCCTCAGAAGCAGAAATGGAAGTTGCAATACCAGGAAGGTAGGAAGAATGTAAGGGAAGGAGGGGAGGAAGGGGAGCCAATCGAAATGATCGACACAAAATCCCCCCGGAGGGGTGGGGGATGAACAACAGAAACATGGGTGAAGGGAGACAGAGGATGTTGTAAGATATGAAAATAATAATAATTTATCATTTATCAAGGGGTCACAGGGTGGGTGGGGGGGACGGGCTGATACCAAGGACTCAAACACAAAATAACTGTTTAGAAAATGATGATAGCAACAGATGTACAAATATGCTTGACACAATTGATGTATGGAATGTTATAAGAGCTGTAAAAGCCCCCAACAAAATGATTTTTTAAAATGTCCTCTGGCTTCCACTCTGATGGCCTGACAACCTTGTGGAACATTGCGGAAGCCCTGAGCTGAACCCCCAGTTCCCTTCCTGCCTCCCAGACCCCAAAGCTACCCATACAGTATCCCTGTACTGAGTGCCCGCTGTGTGTGTCACGTGCTCGCTTAGCTGTCTCCACGTTACTCTGTCCTAACATTTATTTGACTGCTACATATGGGAATGAAGTCTAATAGGTGGGGGAGTGTGTGTGTGTGTGTGTGTGTGTGTGTGTGTGTGTGTGTGTGAGAGAGAGAGAGATAATGTGTGTAAATTGTTACTGGGGGACCTGGAAAATGGTCAGAGAATGTAGTCTGACAGGAGTAGCCTTGGAACTCAGCACAATTGATCAGGATCAGTCATTACTGGAGCTACAGAAACCAGATGCCCAGGATGTGGCCTTGGGTCTGATTGGAAACCTGTCTGCAGAAAGGTGGATTGAAAGGAGCAAGCGCCCCACCCCCATCCTCCACATACTCCTTTCTGAAGCATCTGCGGAAGGGAATGATCATTAGAGAAAGTCCATTAGTATAAGAGGACAAAGGGAGGCAAGGCTTCTTTGAGGACAAAGCAGCTGATGCTTGCAGCCCTCTGCTCCCTCATCGTGTGTCCAGGACACAGCCCTCCATCCAGGACTCTAAGTTGTAATGGGAAACTAACATCTTTGAAGACCGATCCCTAAGGGTTTGGGCTGTTCCTCCCAGATGAGCATGCTAATCTCAGTTGTCCCTCCTGGATCTCCAAGGGATGAGTTTTTGTGGGTGATGCATTGTGCTCTCGCTGCTTCACCCCAGCCTTGTGAACATCAGAGCCCTAGTGGTGGGACACTCCAAAGACAAGGAGGGACCTTCTGTCTGCACCATACATGGTGTCACCTGCCGAGGAAGAACCCCGATAGCTTGAAGGCTGGGCAGGAGAAGCTGGGGGAACGGGTCCATCAGGGACAAGGGGTAGATAAGCAAGCCCAGGTATTAGAACGGAAGAAAGAATCACACCGAGACAATACACTGCTGAGTTGGACCTAACAAATACTCCGACCTTGTAAACCGCCACTGCGGTCATATTGACGAGCAATTTTGCTGGAAAACTGGAGATGGAGCGAGCTGGCCCAGTTCAGTTGTAATGTGTCAATTCATTGATTGCTTTTGAAACCCACCCATCACATACCTGTGTTCCATGACTAGATTGTGCCTTGGGACTCAAGGAAAAATAACACCATATTAAATGAAAGATCTGCTTGTGACTAGAATTTAAAAGCGATTGGATTACAAAACGTCTCACAATGGAAAGGTCTAGTGCCAAGGAGGCTTGATAAGTATTGTTTTTCAAGGAGCCTCTCAAAGATCCCATGATGGGGAAAAAGTAAAACCAACCTGTGGGGTTAAATTTGTTGGAAGGACTTTGTCTCATCCCTGGATTGACTCAATAATGTAAGTAATTTGAAGACAGTTATGATTGTAAAAAACTGTGCTAATTGTGAGTGATTTGTCCAGACATGTTAATAATGAAATTGAAGTCTACACAGAACAAGGAGAATAGAAGTGTTTATAATATTTGTACCAAGTGTTTACTGTTTCAACATGGCCCCTGGAGTATTAAGAGTTAATTTGGTTTTGGCAAATTGGACACATTTCCTCTAAGCAACACTCCAGTAAACTGGTCCTGAAATTCAGTCTAAAAACCGCTCAAGGCATCTGACCATTTTCAAGAGAAACTGTCATGACCGTG